TTTGCCTGTCAGCCTGGCAAGAAAGCTTTGTCTTTTCTCAAAAGCCAATTTCATGGTATTGACTTCTGTGTGCATTGGGCAACGAGCCCTTGCTCCGTAACAAAATGTATTGATGTCTGTGATTTGCTCCAGAGTAGCTAGTAGTAGTCTAGCTAGTATCACTCAGTTGGTTGGGAGTCGTCCCACAAACCAAAAGGTTGTGGGCTCAATTCTCGGTCAGGCACCTGCCTGGGTTGTGAGTTCAGTCCCTGGTTGGGGCTCGTGGAAGAGCCAACCAATCAGTTTTTCTCTCTCACATCAATGTTTCTCTCCCTTTCTTTCTCTTTCCCTTCCCCTGTCTCTTAAAATAAATAAATAATCTTTATTTTAAAGAAGAAAATATTTACTTAATTTCTACTATTTCAGGCACTGTGCTGAGTACCAAATATGCATTGAAGAAAACAAGCATTGTTCTTGTCCTAATGGAGTTCATGGTGAAGTAGGGAAAACTGTCTTCAGGCAAATATAATTAGAAATTGCAATGAATGCCAAGAAGGCAAAGAACAGATTGTTTATAAAAGAGTAACCAAAGGAATAGGGTTTGCCTAGCCTGCCAAAGTTTGCTGAATGTTGTCAGAAGACATTAGACTCCTGAATCAGAGCAAAAGGACATTATTACTCACAGCACAGCAAGGATCATGAGCCTCAAAATATTGTTGGTTCCCTATGCCTCCAAGTCTCATTGAGAGACAAAATATGGAGCCCAAGTGGTTGGTGTACATGCTGTGAGTTCCTGTCGCAGGTGAGAATCTACCACTTTTGTAGTAAGCAGTAAGCAAGCTTGCTCTTCGTGTGCAGGGAGAAGTTACCTCATCTCTCAAAATTGCTTTCTGCAACTATGAACCTGATAAATGGCCTGGATAAAGAGCAACCAGGGCCCCCATTATTAGCATACTCTGTAGAAATGTGTAGGAATACTTAGGGCTTTGGTGGATTGCTTCTTCTAAGGGGAGGAGGGACTTCAAAGAAGTCCTCTCAGATATTTAACAAAAAGGAAAAACAGCTTTGCCCTGGCTGAGTAGCTCAGTTGGTTAGAGCATCATCCAGATACACTGAGGCTGCAGGTTTGATCTCCAGTCAGGGTACCTACGAGAATCAACCAAGAATAAATGCATAAAAGTAGAAGTTGAACAACAAAGTGATGTTCTCTCTCTCTCCCCCTTAACTCCAAATCAATCAATAAAATTTTTTTTGAAACAGCTTTACTACGGTATAATTGGCATACAGTAAACTGAACATGTTTAAAGTGTACAATTTGGTAAGTTTCAATATAGATACACATCCATGAAACCATCACAGCAGTCAAGATCAGCGAACACGTTACCTTTGTGCCCCTTTGTAATTCGTCTCCCATCTCCTTTCTCCTCCCCCAGGCAAATGCTGATTTTTGTCATTCTGTATTGGTTTATATTTTCTAGAACTTTGTACAAATTGAATGACACAGCCTGCATTATGTATTCTTGTTTGTCTTTCATGCAGCATGACTATATTCAGTATTTTGATTCATCCATATTATAGTGTGTTCTTTTTGTTGGATGTAGTATTTCATTATCCCAGAGTTTGTTTATACTCATCTGTTGTTAGACATTTGGGGTGTTTTTGATTTTTGGCAATTACAAATAAAGGTGCTTTGAATAGTCATGTACAACTCATTATATGGACATATACTTTTATTTCTATTGAATAAACATCTAGTGGAAGAATGGTTTGACCATTTGATAGGTATATGTTGAACATTTTAAGGAAATGGAAGACTCTTTCACAAAATGATTATACAATTTTTTCTTTTCACCAACAGTATATGAGAATTCTAGTTTTTCTATCCTCACCAACATATGATTTTTTTTTTATTTAGCCACTCTAACAGGTACATGGTCATATCTAATTGTGGCTTTAATTGCATTTTGCTAATGACTAAAGGTATTGACTATTTTTAATGTGCTTATTTGCCATTCATATACCTTCTTTGATAAAAATCCCACTTTAAAAATTATATTGTTTTCTTATTATTGAGATTTGACAGTTCTTTATATATTCTAGATACAAATCGTTTTTCAGATATATGAAAAATTTACTTTCCCACCCTGGGACTTACTGTTTCATTCTCTTAGGTATCTTTTGAAGAGCATATGCTTTTAATTTAGATAACATTCAGTTTATCAGTTTATTGTTTTATAGGTCATACTTTTAGGTTTACATCATGCCTAACCCAAGGATGGAAAGGTTCTCTCATGTTTTCTTGTAGAAGATTTGTAGCTTTAGGTTTTATGTTTAGGTCTTGAGTCCTTCCTGTGTTAATTTTTGTCTGAGGTGCAAGGCATGAAGTAAAGTTTTGTTTTTCAAATAGACACCTAATTGTTATGATACCCTTCATTGAAATATGCCCAGTGTCCACTAAATTGCGTTTGCACCTTGGTCAGAATTTAGTTTTCTTGTGTATGTGTGGTTTTATTTTTAGGCTTCCTGTTTCATGTCATTTGTCTCTGTATCTGTCTTTAACAATATTTTGATTTGTGTAGTTTTATAAATCTTATAATCAGGTAGTATTATTTCTTCAACTTTATTCTTTTTGGTTATTATAGATCCTTTGCATTTTCATATGTTTTAGGGGTTTTTTTTTCAATTTCTAAAGAGAAAGGCTGCATTGATTTTAATATATAAATTTGGGGAGAATTTACATCTTAACCACACTGAGCCTTGAATATGTGAATATGTTGTCTCTTCAGTTATTTAGGTCTTCTTTAGTTTATCTCAGCATTGCTTTTTCTGTTTTTAGTGTTCAGATCTTTCACATATTTTTGTTATGTGAAATACTTAGATATATCTCTAAGTATTCATATTTTAATGCTATTATACATCGTATTATTTTTAATACCAGTTTCTTACTGTTCATCTCTAGTATGTAGAAATATTATTGAGTTTTACACATTGATCTTATACCCTATAACCTTGTTAAATTCATTTATTAATTCTTATAGCTTTTTTGTAGATTCCATCAGATTTCCTACATAGATGATCATGTCTGTGAATAAAATAGTGGTATCTCTTACGGATTTCCCATCTAAATGTTTGTTTGTTTTGTTTTGTCTTGTTTTGCTCTTGGTCTTACTGCACTGACTGGAGCCCCTAGGATACTGTTAAATAGAAGTGCTGTCCTCTTTCTTTGGGGCAAAAGCAGTGTGCCTTGTTAGGTATCACATTAGCTGTAGGGATTTTTGTAGATGCCATTTATCAGATTGAGAACATTCCCTTCTGTTCCTAGTAGACTGAGAGTTTTTAGTAGGAATTAATTTTTATTTTTTCAAGTGCTGTTTCTGTGTCTATTTATATGATCACATACTTTTCATTTTTGTTAATATGATGGATCACATTGATTGACTTTATTTTATTTCTTTATTTTACCTTTTTATTGTTGTTCAAGTACGGTTGTCTCCATTCTCCTACACACCCCAGCCATCCCCACCTCCCACCCTTGATCCTATGCCCTTTTACATTGATTGATTTTAAAATGTTAAATCAACCATGAATTCTTAGGATTGGTCATAATGTATTATTCTTTTTATATGTTCTTGGACAAGATGTGCTGCATTTTTGTATCTACATTCATGAAGGATATTATTCTTTTGTTTGTTTATTTGTTTTCCTGTTATGTTTCTGGTTTTGTCATCAGAGTAATGTCGATCTTATAAGAGAGTTGGCAATTGATACTATTTCTTCCTTAAATTGTTTGATAGAATTGACCACTGAAGTTATCTGGGCCTGTGTATTTTCATTGTGGGAAGGTTTTTAACTAAAAAGCTCAATATATAATAAGACTGTTCAGTAAATCTGTTTCTTATTGAGTGAGCTTTATTAGTTTGTGTCTTTCCAGGAATTTGATAAACTGTACATTCATAAATGTGGTCAAATTTATTCATATAAGGTTGTTCATAATTCCTTTATGATCCTCTTAACATCTGCAGCATATGTAGTGAGGTGAGCCCCCCACATTCCTAATATGGCTAATTTGTTCCTTCTCTTCTTTCCTAACCAATTTGTCTAGAGGTTTGTCAATTTTACTTATTTTCTCTAAGAACTAGTTTTTGGTTTCAGTGTTTTTATTCTTTTTCTGTTTTATTGATATCTGCATAGATCTTTATTTTCTTCTGTTTATGTTGGGATTTATCTGCTCCTCTTTTTCTATGTTCTTAAGATGGAAACTGAGGTCATTGCTTTGAGACTTGTCTTCTTTTCAAATGTAGATGCATGTATAAATTTCTCCAAAGTATTCCTTCAGTGAAATTCAACAGATTTTCATATGTTGTATTTTAATTTCCATTGAGTTCAAAATGCTTGCTAATTTCCCTTTTAATTTCTTGTATGAACAAACAACATGAATGATTTATTTAGAAGCATGTCTTTTAGTTCCAAATATTTACTTCCAAAGATACCTGTTATTGATTTCTAACCCCAAACTATTTTGGTTAGAGAACATACTTTGTATAATGTGAAAACTTTTAAATTTATTCAAACTATTTTGTGGAATCAAAAATTGTCTCTCTAGGTAAATGACTCATGTGCAGTTGAAAATAATGTGTACTTGGCTGTTTTAGATAATGTCAGTTAAGTAAGTTTTGTGTGTTGTTTAGGTTTTCCACATGCATCTGGTTTTATATGTACTTGTTTTATCAATCATTGAGAAAAGAAATTGAAATCTTCAATTATAATTTTTGATTTGCCTATTTCTTTATACATTACATTTCAAAACATATGGTCCACAAACATCAAATGCAATGAATATAGTCTGGGTAGGAAATTACTGGTACTCACATTATTTCAAATGGCCTCAGAGAATATCTCTCTGATTTATCCTGTAATGTAGTGTCTTTGTCCCATCATCTTTATATAAAAAAGAAACTTTTACATGCTACATTTTATTGTTTTATCATTTATCTAATGAATGTTATTGTTTTGCTTGTCAGCTTCTATGTTTTTGAAACAGGCATTTGAAGGAGAATATCCTAAATTACTGCGTCTTTTTAATGATTTATGGAAGCGTCTTCAACAGTACAGCCAAAATATTCAAGGAAAGTTTAATGCAACTGGAGCCACAGACCTCTACGTTGACTTACAGCACATGGAAGATGATGCACAAGACATATTCATACCAAAAAAGCCAGATTATGAGTATGTTTGTTTAATCAAACCTGTTTGTTGGCATATTAAGGATTTGTCTTAATCTTATGCCAGGATAGGTTCTCAGTCTGGTAGGAAAAAACCTGAATATACTCAAATTTAAACCTGAAAAATCTCATAGATCACTCATCTTTAGGAGCAACATTGGAAAAAAACACATCTCAATAAGTTTAAAACAGCCAACTTTTCCTCCTATATTGAAAGAGTATTATTTTCAGTTTTTTATTTGAATACCAAATCAATTGATTTGCATGTCTTTAAACACTAGAATCAGAGTTATAGTGGGGCTGACTCAGATAACAGATTATCACCTACCTTGTAAGAAAAATGTTGGATAGATACATGAGTGATATTTAAATGTTTGTTTCTCTTTCACTTTTTTAAAAAAATACTTATAGCTGAATTGTGTCCTTTGCAGTAAATAGTTCTGACTGGTAAAATATAGGAAGTAGAAGTTTTGATTGGCAAAATAAGTGGAACATGAGTAGACTAGAATGATAGGATGAGTGTATATATTATTTATTTTCTTCTCTTCTCTTCTCTTCTCTTCTCTCTTTTCTTTCTTCATTAAAACTGGGGACAGTGAAGCAAGGAAGGGCTTAGGATAGAAGAAACAACAGGAGAGCCTAGACTGGGCTGCTTTAGCCCACAGAAAAGTCAGAGAAAAGGGGACCATGAAGACAGGTTTAGGGGGTTAGCCTGGGTCAAGCTGCCTCTGCCAATTGCTCCCCTGATTGCAAGTCTCAGCAGGACCTTTAGAGTTTGAGAGATGCAAGCCTGAGAGGGAAGAAAGACATGGGTGTGTTCCCGGGAAGGAGAGCGCCGTATTGTTTTCTTCAATAACTTTTTTATGCAAAACATGGAGGTTAGATAAGGACTAATGGAATAGGGGACAAGAAGACTGAACCCATATGTTGATCTACAAAGATCAAATAATATATTAGTTTTTCCAAAAGTATATAATGCATGGTATATGATTCTATTATGATTCTATTTCTGTTTTAGTCTTTAAAATCAATATGCTTATGTTAAAAAACACCTGGAAATATACACAGCAAATGGTAAGAATGGTTTATCTCTAGGAGGTAGAGTTTTTATTTTGTATTTTCTGCTTTTTTAATTCAATAGAGAAAAAAAATCCCTGTGTTTTTGACTAATGGGATGTCACTGTCACCCTTTGGAGACTAAATTCAGTAAAGTAGTTGCTGAGGAAGAAGACCTATGACCCATATTTCAGGAATACCCCAAATCATGAGTTTACAAGGAAACAAATGCAATGGGTTTTCAATATTCTTTTGAGCCCTTGTGTGTGAGGCTCAGTTAGTTGCAGCATCACCCCGAACACCAGAAGTCATCAGATATAAGGAGAGATTGGAGAAATCAAGACAGAAATTGGATTACAGAATTGTTAATGAGATTATATGTGCTCTTGGGGATTAATACTTCCCCCTCCAGGGCTATTACTTCCTGTATTTCTAAAGTTTAGCTTAGAAAAATAGACAGGGCTGGCTTAAAACCTTTATCTAAAGAAGTTGCAAACCTGGAGCATGACTACTCACCATGACCAGCCCAGTTAAGAATTTATGATCCAGCCCTGGCTTGCGTAGCTCAGTGGATTGAGCGTGGGCTGCGAACCAAAGTGATGGCAGGTTCAATTCCCAGTCAGGGTACATGCCTAGGTTGCAGGCCATGACCCCCAGCAACCGCACATTGATGTTTCTCTCTTTCTCTTTCTCCCTCCCTTCCCTCTCTAAAAATAAATAAATAAAATCTTTAAAAAAAAAAAGAATTTACGATCCAGTTACCCTGGGAGGCTACTTTCCATAGAACCCCTTTATTAATCCACAGCCCCCAACTTCCAGTCAGAGGGCTGATTTTCTTGGGGATAGGAGAGCCTCAGCATTTCTCATTCTGCCCATAACTGCCTGTAGTTGAGCCTTAATTCAGGCAAATGAGATCAAGAGGTGGGTGCTCCCATATTGTGCCTGGATACCACTCAGCAGTGGCATCTCTACCTTGTTGTGGCTCCCTGAAAACACTAGAGTCCCAATATACCTTTGCTTGGCTTTTTAAATGGGGTTCCATACCAGGAAATGCAGGCTAAGGGGGCCCCAGGCTGCTGCCCACCCCCACCAAGTTCTTTGAGTAAGATGTTACCTGAGACTTGTTTTTTTAAAAAAAAAGACAATTTGATGCTGACCAAATCTGATGTCTTAAGGGCTTATGATTAAGGAAGGGAGTGGATGCATAGAAAGGAGAACGGGTCATGTTAAAGAAATTGAGTTTCTGTGCAGTTACAGAATGTATTTAAAAACAAAAAGCTGCATATTGAGGAAGCTCGACAAAAATCAAAGCAGGATTAACTCAAAAAGACCACAAATAGATACATTGTATTCCATATTTAACCCATTTAACATTATTTATTTATTTTGTACCACTTTCATTGACATGTAAACTTTGAGGACAGAGAATTTTCTAACCCACTTCACTGCTACATTTTCTGCATGTAGGAAGTACCTGGCAAATTATGGAGGCTTAACTGTATCTATGGGAGGGAAGGAAATAGAGGGTACTAGGGATATGGAAAGTGTTCCCAAGCGTGGAGATTTTGGAGTTGGAGTTCAAAAGGTTTAGAGTTTTAGAGTGCAAAAGGTTGACTCAGGACTTCTGGCCCAGATGGAGGCGTAGGTAGACACACTGTCCCTCCTCACACAACCAAGATAGGCACAACAACAATTTAGAAACAAATTAACAACCAGAACTGATAGAAAATTGAACTGTATGGAAGTCGGACAACCAAGGAGTTAAAATAGACACATTCATGCAGACTGGTAGGAGGGGCGGAGCCGGGAAGCTGGGCGGAGAGGGGTTGCATGGCACAAAGAGCGTTGGGACTGGCATAAGGCATCCTGGGTGAGCAAGACCACAGCAGATGGCACACCCTGGCTGAGGGGTGGCAACTGGCAGACCCAGGGACGCGGCGATTGTGAAGCAGGGCATTGTGTGCCAGGCGACTGGCTGACCCGGAAGTCTCAGGGTCCCAGTGCCAGGAAATAGAGCCTCGGGGCACTGATTGAAAATACCTGTGGAGTTTGAGGCTCAGGGAGAGACTCCCAGCCTCACAGGAGAGGTCCTTGGAAAGACCCATGGGGTGCACAAGCCCACCCACATGGGAATTAGCACCAGAAAGGCCCAGTTTGCTTGGGGGAAGCAGCAGAAGGGACTGAAGTCTGAGAGAGAGCGGAGCAAGCACTATTGTTCCCTTTCTGATCCATGCCCCACATACAGCCTCACAACCCAACAACTGGGTTGCCTCACCCTGGTGAACACCTAAGGCTCCACCACTTCATGTGTAACAGATGCGACAAGACCAGAAAAAAAAAAGATGGCTCAAACAGAAGAACAAATGAAAGCACCAGAAACAATACTTTTAAGCAACCAAGAGATAGCCTACCTATCAGATGCACAGTTCAAAGCACTGGTGATCAGGATGGTCACAGAATTGGTTGACTTTGGTCGCAAATTAGATGAAAAAATGAAGGCTACAATAAGTGAAATGAAGAAAAATGCACAGGGAAGCAATAGTGATGGAAAGAAAGCTGGGTCTCACATCAATGAAGTGGACCAGAAGGAAGAAAACAACATACCATCAGAAAAAAACGAAGAAATAAGAATTCAAAAAAATGAGGAGAGTCTTAGGAACCTCCAGGACATCTTTAAACATTCCAACATCTGAATTATAGGAGTACCAGAAGGAGAAGAGGAAGAGCAACAAGTGGAGAACTTATTTGAACAAATAATAAAGGAGAACGTCCCCAGTCTGGCAAAGGAAACAGATTTCCAGGAAGTCCAGGAAGCTCAGAGAGTCCCAAAGAAGCTGGACCCAAGAAGGAACACACCAAGGCACATCATAATTACATTAGCCAAGGTACAAATGAAGGAGAGAATCCTAGAAGCAGCAAGAGACAAGGAGACAGTAACCTACAAAGGAGGTCCCATCAGACTGTCAGCTGATTTCTCAAAAGAGACCTTACAGACAAGAAGGGGCTGGAAAGAAGTATTCCAAGTCATGAAAGGCAAGGACCTGCATCCAAGATTGCTCTATCCAGTAAACTTTCATTTAGAATGGAAGGGCAGATAAAGTGCTTCCCAGATAAGGTCAAGTTAAAGGAGTTCATCATCACCAGGCCTTTATTATATGAAATGTTAAAGGGACTTATCTAAGAAAAAGAAGATAAAAAACATGTATAGTAAAATGACAGCAAACTCAACAATTATTAACAACCACACCTAAAACAAAACAAAAACAAACTAAGCAAACTACTAGAACAGGAACAGAACCACAGAAATGGAGATCACATGGAGGGTTAGCAACAGGGGAGTGGGAGAAGGAGAGGGGGGAAAAAGGTTTGGAGAATAAGTAGCATAGATGGTAGGTAGAAAATAGATAGGGGGAGGGCAAGAATAGTATGGGAAATGTAGAAGCTAAAGAACTGATGACACATGGACATGAACTAAAGGGGGAGAATGTGGGTGGGAGAGGGTGTGCAGGGTGGAGGGGAATGAAGGGGGGAAATGGGACAACTGTAATAGCATAATCCATTAAATATATTTAAAAAAAGGTTGACTCAGATATGAAGGATCCATAGTACAGCTAAAATAAAAGTTAGGTAGACTACTGACACAAGACAGAAAAAAGTTAGAAAAATTACTTGTTTTGACATTGTAGCTTCCAAGGATCCTTGCAGCACTGGAGAACAGGAAGAATGTTAAATACTTAGAATTCAATGCTGAAATTTCTGTGGAAGAGGGGAGAAGTAGCTTCTCTTTCTGTTTCTTCTTTCCTTCTTTCTTCTTCTTTCTCACTTTCTTCTTCTGTTTTCTTCTTTTCTTCTTCCTTTCTTCTTATGTCTTGTTCAAATTTATTGGGTTGACATCGGTTAAAAAATTATATAGGTTTCAGGACTGTAATCAAAGATTATATAATACATTATCTTTATATTGTATTGTATGTGTGAAGAAACTTCTTAAGGATAGTAAATGACAGGAGGAAAGATAGACAAGACATTGACTTCAACAGAGGATTGCTCCTGACAGATTTAGACACTAGTTCTTTACTTTTCCCATTGGGGCCTTTATGTCTTCATCTGTTTTAGAAGTTATAGTTAGCACTTTACCAGCACATTGTTTTACTACAGTGTAAAGCATTTTAAATCTCTATCTTCCCAGTACTTAACCAAGGCCTTGTATGTTGTATTTTTACTAAATGTGTGCTAAGTGAAATACTTCTTGAATGAGAAAGTATTAAAAGATAACTGAAATTATGATGTAGGAGCCGGGAGCATTCTGACTTCTAGGTCTTCTTAGTTGATTAGAAAGGGTGGGAAGGAAAAAGCCAGGTTTTATATATGTGAACAAGCAGGTCAGTCATTTTCAAGGTTAATATTTTGGATGAAGAAGGATTTATTTTTTAAAAGAGGAAAGAAAAAAGACAGTGGTAGGGCAAAACAGAAAAGTGGTAGGACTGGCAGAAGGTTCATAAATAGGGGTGATGTGAGAAGATACGGAGTTAATAATAGGGGTAAGAAAGCAAAGGGAAATAATGGTTATAGACATTTGAGATCAATTGTCAAAGGAAAACTCTAAGACCCAATAAGTGGATTGCTAAATGAAAATCAACACAAATAATTGAAGACATGGAAAGAGTAAGGAAGAAAGACTGTTTAGTAGGTTAAGTTTTGGTTTGTGAAGAATATTGTAAAATTAATTAGCTTAGAACTCCAGTTGGGTGTATGTATGTGATTGTAGAACTTGAACAAAATATGTTTTATTTTTGTCCTCATTCTTGATAACAACAGTTTTGACATGGGAAGACTGATAAGAGCCCAGTCCTATATGAATGTATATACTTCTCTCTCAGTCAGTGAGCCTTATGGGATATGGCAGCTATGGGTGAAAAGGGTTGAGCTAGCGCAGTAGTTTTCAACTACTGCAAGAGTGTGCTGCAAGAATTTTTAAAATATTCCATATATGACTATTTAGTCAAGGGCATTGATCTCTTTTCCTTTAGATTGTCAAATTAAAAACTCACAACAGACCACATAATAATAGCTGTCAAGTGTGAATGCCCTATCTTGAGCCATAAATATATAGGTCACATAACAGAGCTGCATCTTATTGGTCACATCATGTAATAAGGTTGTATCTGACTGGTTAATTCTTAGTACCAGAATTCCTTATATACAAGAATAAGCACCTGGGTTTTTTTAAAAGTCTCTTTTGAGCAAAAAGGGTAGGTAAGTACTATTTTTATTACTTTTTGTAAATCAAAATTATACCTATTTTTGTCAGATTAGCAAAAAATATACACTTTTGGTGTGCCACAGAATTTTAATTAGTTTATATGTACCACGAGATGAAAAACGTTGACAATCACTGAGCTAGTGAAACAGGTCTCTACAGACTTGATACTGTATAAAGACAGGATTTGCTAATGAAAGGCATAGCCCCAATAGAATTAAGGTTTTACAGTGTTATTCTTTGAGTTTCAAGTGACAGACTTACTCCAGTAGGTACTGCTGAATATAATATTGTTTGTGGTAATTTAGGTATAAATTAAAATGTTTAGTCCTTAAAAAATTTAATTCCAAAATGCATTTGCAACAATATTTATTTATTTATTTATTTATTTATTTATTTATTTATAGGATTTTTGACAATTTTATTTGGTATGGATTTTTTAAGTATATTTTATTGATTATGCTATTACAGTTATCCCACTTTGCCCCTCTCTTACCCCATACCCCACTTCTCTCCAGCAGTTCCCACCCTTAGTTCATGTCCATGGGTTGGACATTTAAGTTCTTTGGCTTCTCCATTTTCTATACTGTCCTTAACCTCCCCATTTATTTTGTAGCTATCATTTATGCTTCTTTATTCCCTGTACCTTTTCCCCCATTTTTCCCTTCCCCCTCTCTGCTGATATCCCCCTCTCTACTGATATTCTTCATATCTATCATTCTGTTCCTATTCTAGGTGTTTGCTTAGGGTTTTTTGTTTGTTTGTTTTAGTTTTATTTTTTAAGTTCAGTTGTTGATATTTGTGAGTTTGTTTGTGTTCATAATTTTGATTTTCTTTTTCTTAGATAAGTTCCATTAACATTTCCTATAATAAGGGCTTGGTAATGATGAATTCCTTTAGCTTTACCTAGTTAGGGAAGCACTTTATCTGCCCTTCCATTCTAAATGGTAGCTTTGCTGGATATTGAACACTTCTTGCCAACCCCTCCCTTCTTGCCTGCAAGGCTTCTTTTGAGAAATCAGCTGATAGTCTTATGGGAACTCCATTGTAGGTAACTCTCTGCTTTTCTCTTGCTGCTTTTAAGATTCTCTCTTTATCTTTAAACTTTGGCATTTTTTTATACATTTTTAAATAATTTTTTTCTTTTTCTGCATATAGAGTTACACTTTATTTAAGCAATATTTTTTAAGAAAGGCACTTATAGCCTGATATAATAGCACTTAGTTTTGTATAATTTAAGTTAATTTTCAATAAATTGTGTTCCCACAGTCCAGAAAAGGCGTTAAAAGACTCACTACAGCCCTACGAGGCTGCTTATCTATCAAAATCCTTATCTCGACTTTTCGATCCTATCAACTTGGTTTTCCCTCCTGGTGGTCGTAATCCTCCTTCTTCGGATGAATTGGATGGTATTATTAAAACTATAGCAAGGTATGTATTTTTGTATATAATGGCATGTTACTAAAATGCCTATTAAGTTTGTTAGTCATGTATGATTGCAGTATATTTTTAATTTATTGCAAATTATTCAAGTAATTAGTCCTGTAATTAAGAGTTTTGCAGTGAATGAGTACACATAAAGTAAGTACTTGAGATTCCAATTGATAAAGTCATTTAAATAGAAACAGTCTGTTCTGACTATTTTAATCTTGTCAATGATGCAAAGTAAACCTAGTTCTTTACACCATAATAAATTTCTAGTATTATACTCCTGAGTTCCCTTATTATTCCCCCTGTTAGTTTTTAATTATCTTATTTCTATAAGGTGGAAATAATAAGATAGGATTAGTTTATAAACTAAAACAGCATAAGATATAAAAGCTACACAATTTTAGAAAGATGGCAGGCTTCTGTCTCAGAACCTGTTCCCTCTAGAACAGGGGCCCCCAACCCCAGGGCCATGTACTGGTACTGGTCCATGGCCTGTTGGGAACCAGGCTGCACAGCAGGAGGTGAGTGACAAGCAAGGGAGTTAAGCTTCACTTACAATAGCACCTAAGCTTTGCCTCCTGTCTCTCCAACTTCCCCTATCCCTGGAAAAATTGTCTCCCATGAAACTGGTTCCTGGTGCCAAAAAGGCTGGGGACTGCTGCTGTAGAACACCCAAAGAAGAATAACCCTGACATCCTCTGCCAGGCCAGTCTGATCCTAAGCTGGGCCCTGGAATTTCTTCTCCCATCCAAAATCCATCCAAAATACTGTCCTTTGGAAAATGCAGGCAGCTACAGCATTGTCATCCAGGCATCCTTGAGGAGGAGAGCCAGAGAGCCAGTCTCTGCCCTCTTTTCTTTATTTTAAATCTTCTGGCTCATAATTCCATGCACTCCAGAGGCATTCAGCTTCTCGGCCAATCCCATCTTAGGCTGTTTACCATTGCCTTGGGAAACCTCCTCCCACTTCCCCTCCTTCTCCTCCCCAGTGATCTGATCAGATCTCTCTGTATCAGTTATACTGTTGCCTTTAGATATTACAGCTGCCCAAATCCGTTTGTAGTTATGACTATCTCAGTTCCTGCCATAGCTAACAAATTGTCATAACAGTAGGTCTTTACATTTGTCACTGAACATTTTGAGGGGTAAAACTAGTAGTTAGTCAATATAGGACCAAGGTATAGAAATGTCTAGATTCTTTTACACTACAAATTTGAAGGTGGTGATTCTGTGGCATGTCAGAATAAGACTACAAAATCACAGATATAATATACATAAGCATCTTTCCAGCTGCAAATATACCTTAACATTGTCTAATTATCCAGCATCTTGATCCTAAATCTCTCCACAATTATCTTGACTTTCCAAAGTTCTGACTCAAGATTTTTTTAACCCTAATGTGTTTATCTGTTTACCATGATAGCAATAAAAATAGTCCTGATTCAACTTGTTCTCTTTGACCTTCTTATAGGAATATTAAAGGGGCATCCCTCTCATTCCTTTATGCAGCTTGGCAATGCTGTAATCAAATATAATGTGGACCTTAAAGAAGCATACTTACACCAGTGTTTAAAAGTGAACATTAAAGAAATTATGTCTCACTATTATATGAGATCTGTCTGGAAAAAGTATATCCATTATAAATATAATGAGAATGGTTTGTGCAAAATCAATGTAACCTAGCAGCCAAGGAGAGTGGGCTGGAGTGCACATGTGTGAACAATGATAACTTCACTGTACTAGTTAGTGGGGGCAGAAGATGCTGCTGTGTGAGCATGTGTACTGTGTGGCTGTTGCATCAAAATGACTAAGTGAGTAGAGCGTGAATCTACATCAAATTTTGCATTAAGCTTGAACATTCATTCATGGAAATTATTCAGATGATTCAGAAGGCTGCAGCTATGGGCAACTGGTGACTGGGCAGCTTCATCGTGACATCATGCCTGCTCATGCATCACATTTCATGCAGTTTTTTTGGTGAAACATCAAATCACCAGGTGACACAGCCCCTCTACAGCCCCTCTGGTGCCCTTCAACTTCTGTTTTTTCCCAAAACTAAAATCACCTCTGAAAGGGAAGAGATATCAGACAATCTATGAGATTCAGGAAAATATGACAGGGTAGCTGATGGCAATTGTGAGAACTGTGTGAGATCCCAAAGTTGCCTACTTTGAAGGGGACTGAGGCATCATTGTCCTACAAACAATGCTTCTTGTGTCTTGTATCTTCAGTAAATATCTCTACTTTCCATATTACATGGCTAGAGACTTTCTCCACAGACCTTTGAGAAGACATTTTGTCACCTATAGTCTGCACTAATGTTGTCTCAAAGTCCTTCAATTGCTTCATCAAGAGAATCTGATCAGTGCCAAAATTTAATCTGCTACTTCAGAGACAATAAATACTTCTCCTGCTTTTTACCTCTTGTGGGATTTCATGTAATTTTTAACTCTTAGTATTCTTTCCATGGTGTTTGTAAACACTCCAGGATTTGTTTGTTTTGTCTTTTTTGGCTTGGTAGTCAGTTCAAATGTCCCAGTTAACTCGGTGTTAAAGTTGGAAATAGACACAAGAAAGAAATACTTTAAGAATTCAAAATTTCAAATTCTTACTATGCTTTTGAGATATTTGAAAATCTAAACAAAATAGCGTAAATTGGCATTAATTTCTAGAAATTGAGTTCCTTTATGTATCATATGTGATTTTTATTGTTAGCCCCTGTCCTTCAAGGTCATCATTTCCATTCAAGAGCTGTCATTTCCGTGCAGATGTCTGTAATATACAGTGGCTCTAATTGCACTTCTCAGTATTAACAAGGTTGCAACTTAAAAAATCTGTACACAATTTACTCTCATAATCACAGCCTGAATCCACACATGACATGTTTTTATTAATGAGAAACTGATCGTTAACAAAGCCATCTCAAATCACTTTCTTCTAATGCTGAATTTGGAAGGGAAAATGAAACAATGCAACCAATTCTTGCAAGCAATCAATTAAACCTATAAAAAGAATTACCATATTGTGTATTCGTTTTAGGTTTATATGTTTGTTAATAAGCACTGCTGCTAATAATGAAGTCTGTTTGTTTTGTCCAGTGAACTAAATGTAGCTGCTGTTGATGGAGACCTGACACTGGCCATATCAAAAAACGTGGCAAAGACCATCCAGTTATACGGTGTGAAATCAGAGCAGCTTGTAAGTGTTATCTCTTCTATAAACTTTCATCATTTTTTAAAAATTACTAATTTTACAATATTTGACTAACTATAAATATAAAATGGACTGAATAGTAATTAATTAATTTTTGTGACCAGTTGATGTTTTATTTAATATTTATGTACTTTCTTTTTTAATTTATTTTAATTTTTTAGTATATTTTATTGATTATGCCATTACAGTTGGCCCATTTTTTTCTCCCCTTTATCCTTCTCTGCCCTACACCCCCCCTTCCACCAGCATACCCCCGCTTTAACATTTCATATAATAAGGGCTTGGCAATGAACTCCTTTAACATGACCTTATTTGGTAAGCACTTTATCTGCCCTTCCATTCTAAATGATAGCTTTGCTGCATAGAGTCATCTTGGATCTAAGTCCTTGCCTTTCATGACTTTGAATTCTTGTTTCCAGCCCCTTCTTGCCTGTAAAGTTTCTTTTGAGAAATCAGCTGACAATCTTATGGGCACTCCTTTGTAGGTAACTCTCTCATTTTGTCTTGCCACTTTTAAGATTCCTTATCTTTAATCTTGGGTAACTTAATTATAATGTACCTTTGTGTGTGTTTGCTTCCTTGGGTCCAGCTTCTTTGGGACTCTCTGAGCTTCCTGGACTTCCCAGAAGCCTGTTTTCTTTGCCAGGTTGGGGAAGTTTTTCATAATTTTTTCAAATAAGTTTTTAATTTCGGGCTTTTCCTCTTCTCCTTCTGGCACCCCTATGATTTGGATGTTGGAATGTTTAAAGTTGTCCCAGAGGTTCCTAAGCCTATCCTCGTTTTTTTGAATTCTTGTTTCTTCATTCTGTTCTGGTTGAATGTTTACTTCGTCCTCCTGCTCCAAATTGTTGATTTGAGTCCCGATTTCCTTCCCTTCACTGTTGGTATATTTTTCTTTATTTCACTAGCCTTCACTTCTTCCTCCATTTTGCAACCATACTCAGTCATTTCTGTGATCATCTTGATCACCAGTGTTTTGAACTCTGCATCTGATAGGTGGGTGTCTCCTCATTGTTTAGTTCTTTTTCTGGAGTTTTGATCTGTTCTTTCATTTTGGCTATATTTCTTTGTCTCAGCACACCTGTTACATTGTAAGGGGTGGAGTCTTAGGTATTTGCCAGGATGGGGCAACCCACGTTGGATGTGTCACGGTGCTGTATGTGGGGGAAGGATTAGAGAGGGAACAAAGCCACTTGCTCGGCTCTCACCCCCCTTTGAAAAAATGGCATTTCTTCCGCTGCCACAACCCTCAGAGGTTTTTACCAGCACAGATTCTGAGGTTTTATTTCCTCATGCTGGAATCCTGGGTTGAGCTGTTTGCCTCACTCCCCAGTTGTTCCTCTCAGGTTATCCATACTCGAATTTGGAATGCCTGGTTCACTAATCACCACCTCACACAGTCCTCCATCTTTTGCCTTGCCTTTGGTCCTCTCCACTGCAGCTGCACATCTCCACCCTTCTTGCCAGTCTTGGTGAATATTTCTTCTTTAACTCTTTGGTTGTCAGATTTCCATATAGTTCAATTTTCTTGCAGTTCTGGTTATTTTTTGTTTTTAAATTAGTTGTTGTCCTTCTTTTGGTTGTGCAGGGGAAGCAAGGCGTATTTGCCTAAGCCTCAATCTTAGCTGGGAGGTATTTTAATATTTTTATTGTATTTTTTCCATTACCATTTAGTCCCCTTGTACTCCCTTCCCCCCCAGCCATCACCACACTGTGAATATTAATTTACTGGCATTTTTACTCTAGTGAACTTTTGAAACTTTGTGATGAATTTTAATCAGAAAAAAAAGTGTTACATCTATTAAAAATGGCCCTCCTGCCACTGTTATACTCTCAGAATGCAGGCAGGTTTTTTAAATAGGACTTGTTAAAACAATGTGTGTGCCACTTATGGGCTAATTACATGTTTTTAAAATAATGATTATTTCAGATTGATCAAATTTACCCTTTCTTTAACCACTTACTCTAGATATTCATGCACTGTTACCTACTGTGAAATTGAACTGTTAGAAAATGATTGGAAGAAGTGACATGCTTAAAATTGTAATATGAAAGTATTGATTAAGTTTCTAAAGGCTCTAACCCTATAGCCTGGAAATTTAACCCTAAAATTATTCCATTTGAAACCGGGGTTTGCATATATTTAAAACAATAGCTGTATAGCTGAATCATAATCTTAATTCTATAAATTAATTATTTAAAGCTAAGTGCATGTTTAACTAGTATATATGTGAGCTAACTGAAATCTAAAGAATAAGGCTTTAATATACTTTTAACTGTCATTGATGGACTACATTAACTGTCCTTATTGTGTAACCAACCATAGTTTCAGTTTAGCCTCTCTGACTGCTCCTAGTAGCAATGTCAGAAAATGAAGTAATCTGTTTTACCTGCATCCTAGTAGGTCCATGTGGCGCTGGAATAATTTTTAGGCGAGGCCGGTAACAAATGGAACTGAAGGAATTTGTGTAAAATGAGTCTTGATGGTACAGTCATATCCTACTTTCAGTTCCAAAGGCTGGCCGGGTTTTGTTTTGCATGCTATTAATAATATGGTGCTATTTTCCATTTAATTGTTCTTGCAGCTTTGGCAAACAATTTAAAAGCATCTTGTTTTGAAACTTTGTTTATTGAAAACTGACCCTATAGAGACCATCAAAGCTCTTTGTAGGTAATTAGATGACTAATTTTTGTCTCAAGCTTTTAAAAAAGCATGGTTTATTTATTATTATTTTTTAATTTATTGGTTTTAGAGAGAGAAGGAAGAGGGAGAAAGAAAGAGAGAATAAAACATCGATTTATTTGTTCCACTTATTGATATATTCACTGGTGATTCTTGAATGTACCCTGATTAGGGGTCAAACCTGCAACCTGGGCGTATTGAGACAGTGCTCTAACGATCGAGCCACCAGCCAGGGCCACATGGTGTATTCCTATATATGAAAGTCAGGACTATATCCAATAGTGTAATAGTGAAAATGTCAGGAAGATAATCATTATGAGATGGTCCCACCTAAAGACAACATTAGGAGGAAGAACCAGTATATATATGGGAAATATTCAACCTTTTTTGGCAGGAGGACGCAGTGGTAATGGTAACTTGTGACTTTTGTTAAGGTAGTAATGCAAAAGGTATTGACAAAATTAAAATATATCAACATACATCTGATTAAATTGATATTACTGGTCAAGTAGTCTGTGACCCTAAGTTACGTAGGCCTACCAAATCTACTGTATGCTAAAAGTTAATGGAAAGTCATTAACTAACATTTTTTAATCGAATTGTTTCCTTTTTTCACAAGAAAATTTACTTTTCAATTTTTATTTTATAGTATTTTATAAATAAACCCCTAGCATTAAATAAGAGTACAAAGAGGATCATTTGCTCTATTTTTAAAATGTATTATTGATTAACAATAAGTAACATTTTAGTATTTATCTCTCATTTTTTTAGGTGTTAATAATACTGTTTCTTCCACTCTTGTGTTTCAAAATTTGACATGTTTTGTTCCTTGATCTTGTTATATTCCTAAACTTGTAGTATTGTTTCACTGAAAACACTCAGAGGAAAATGGCCAAAATTAAATGTTTAGTGGGAGAAAGACTTGAAACAGATTGTTAAGTAGAATATCAGCTTTGTAAATGGAAATGTTGACTTGAAATTTAGTATGATAAGTCTAAAAATGCAGGATTGTTTTTATAGATGAAAAATTTAAGCCTCAAGTCCACAAGGTTGAAAGGTAATATAAATCAGTTCAAGAAGTAAGATAAAGGAAAGCTAGAATTTTAAAGGTGAGCATGTCACAGGTGGGCAGAAGTAACCAGGTTCTTGGTGATTGCGGACAAAGAATTGAACTGAACACACAGAGTTTGTAGCAGAAAGAGAAAGAGTAGATTTATTAAGCAATAATACACTCCTCAGAACATAGGAGTAGGCCAGTTCTGAGCAGAGATTGACCTCAGGGGCTGGAGGGGTTCTACTCTTATAGGGCAGATCTTTCCTAACTAGTTTTGGTGGGCTTTAATTGCTCATGTACAAGTAGTTGTATTACTTTAAAGCTACTGCACATGTGGTCTCTGGTGATTTTTCTTTACTGGCCACAGGAGAAGGGGGTCACACGATGTCTGTTTATTATAATGCTATTATAAGGAAGCAGGGATCAGGTAGTATTTTCTGTGCAGATGCATTCATGATTCCCCATGATTCAGCGCTTTCCTAGAAATCGGGAACTACTGGTCTTAGAACGGGTCTCTGTCCTGTATTGACCCCCTTTATCTTAGCCCTGGGGCACCTCCAGAGTTTCCTCCTTCCTGACAATCTTCTACCTCAAGCATGTTTTCAAAAAGGGTGACTGACCATTTAACCCCCCATCCCCTCCCCCATCATCCTCCACACGTCCAGCGCCTGTTCCCTGTGTCCATGCCTGTTCTCTTCTACCTTGTTTGCTCAATCCCTCCACTCCTCACTCAGCCCCCCAAACCTCCCAACAGCTGTCAGCCTGTTCTCTATCTATGAGTCTGTCTCTATTTTGCCTGTTCACCTGAAACCTGTATAATTTTGTTAATCACTGTCACCTCAATAAATTTAATAAAATGCAGGTGGAAGGTGACTTGAAAATGAGCAGCTTGACAAGAGTCCTAAATTTCCCTAAAGGGTAGTTGTGAAAGTTCCTTGGCTATCAGAACATTTTAGTATATGGAACTGCCTTTAGTCACATCAGGATAAAGTCTCATAAAAGGATTTTTCCAAGTAGGTTTTTTCTGTGGGTGATTTAAACTCATTGTGTCTATTCGGATCTATTCTTCCATGTTTCTATGAAACCTATGTGTTTACTTTCAACCTCATTATTTTAATGTTCTGCATATAGTAGAATAAAATATGTAAGTTATATATAGTATATACATTATAGTATATATATATAGACTTAAAACAATCTGAAATTATTTTATCATTACACATGCATGTAACCTTTTTCTAAGGCTTT